CCAAGAACTCCTTCTTTGTGGCACGGCTCCATTCGCTGAAGTGGCCTACACCAAGTGGTTTGGCGAGATGCTTCGTCGACGCGTCGAGTATAGCTTGTTGCGGCGCGCTGCGCTGCGGCATGGCAGCGACGCGGCAGGCTGCCAGAAAGGCTGGAACAAGGGCGCGTGCCGCTTTCATTTTGGAGAGATGAATGCGATAAGGATGCTATTGGTATAGATTATTGTGGATGTCGGAAGGCATCAAGGCTCAGGTACGGATGTGCAGCTGGGATCCACAGCTACGTCAACGCTGGCCTAGGCGCGACCAGCTGGGCCGTGTTTCAGCCCTGTGGCTGTGAGTCCAGACGCTGCTCCCCCAAACCGGCCTGCAAGCGACATTTGACATTTGTTGAGTTCGACCAGGGTGGCATAACAATAATGCATGTCTCCAAAGCCCACTGTTTCTGCGCACAACTGGCAGAGTCTGCGCAATGCTACTAATTGCTTCTTGGTGGCTCCTCTGCAGAGACTGTGGCTGCAGCGACAGCGACGTGCAGGGCTCATATGATCAAGCATTGGGCGTCAGCCATGCTTAGTCCATCCTTCTCATGCGGGAGTCAGCAACCCCAGATATGTGTGCAGTTGGAGAAATATGAGGCATGACGTCAGAGCTGATTGCTGGCGGGATGGCATGCAGCCACTCGGATCCTCAACGAAGCCGCCCTAGCCGAAGCACTACCACGCGGCTGGTTGACAACCCGCGCGTGCAAGGAAAGCTTGACTGTGTTTTCCAAGACCCCTCTCACGCTCCTATTCCTCAAACCCGTTATTATCGCCGTGCCAACGCGCCGCTTTCCTATCACGGCGCGCTCCTAACCCTGTTCTCACGACGGATTGCGGAGACAGGCTGCTGACTGAACAATGAACTAATTGCGTCGGTCGCGGCCGGATCGCTCGCTGCACGCTTAGCAAGACACTACTTGACCCCAACGCCGCACTCTCGCCCAAACTGCTTCCTTTCCTGAGGCTCTCTCGTCGCAACCGCTGCAATTATGGATCAAGGCCCACACGAGCAGGGACGACCGTTGGCGTCGTCGTCAACTTCGACCACCACTACCTCTGGCCCCTACACTACCACCACCACGACATCCACCGCACCCGGACAGGGAACGAGCGTGCACCATTTCGGGCCCCAGTCGACCACTATCACACACCCTGCCGTCACCACAACGACGCACATGCCGTCCACTCAACCCTCCCAACCACACGCGCCTACCTCAAATCCTATCCAGCGCCTGCGCAGTTCGTCGATCCGCATAAGAAGACCGTCACATCAGCCAAGCGTAAATACTCCCCAACCCACACCCGACCCAGCGCCAGTACCGGGATCCGACAGCACATGGCAAGCCGGCCGAAGACGAAGTAGTTCTGAACCGCGCCCACCTCCAGCGGCCATGGTCGCCGACGACAGCCTAAGACGTCAATTAACGGGCCCCCATCTACAGCCTCTATATGAAGATGGCACGGCGACAGCAAACCCTGCTATCGGCAATGGTCCGCCGACTGCCAGCAATGCACGGAGAGGGATGACTCGTCAATCATCCGCTTTCCACATGCGGCGGCATCAGAAGGACCCAAACCAGAACATGATGGGCAACAATGTTGTCGATGTGCTTGATGTCATCGGTTAGTAATCCCAGAGTATGCTACATTGGGGTATCAGCTAACAAAGTCTAGACCCCGAGATATCTGCCCTCACTACACTGAATAACGTTCAGAACTCGCTGTTCTTGCCCAATCTACCTTGGCTCTACAACCGCCAGCCCACATACGATCTTGGGCAGACGACATCCGACTCCTCGGACGAAGAGATGGGCACGGCTAGAGGGGCCAGACGCGAGGAAGATCAACTCCCTGAGATGACACAACAAGGCGAAGTAGAACAAGCCGCGCGCGGAGGTCGCGGAGAATTGCGAAGAAACAACACTATCGACTCCAATCTTTCGACTCTGGAGGAAGGTGCTGGCCATCACTACGCCGTGCTGCCACACGGTGCCTCATTGACAGGATGGACCGACGAGGAGAAGGAAGCTCTGGACGACCATGTTCGACATCTCCTCCACTCTCGACGCGCAAGGTTCAAGCGGACTATGAAGGGCTTCGGACGTTACGTTCGCAACCCACTCGGCTTTCTCGTCACATTGTACTTCTTCCTTATTACCTTCTGGGGAGCAGCATGGGTACTCTTCCTCATCGGTTGGATTTACGTTGGTGATCGTCAGGCATACTTTGTCGAGATTGCTGATCAGGTTCTTACTGCCCTGTTCTGTGTTGTTGGAATCACCATGTTTCCCTTCCGCATCGTCGACACATACCACATGGCTTTCGTCGCTTACTACGCGCACAAGACCTGGCGGCTACGCAAAGAACGAGGACTACAAGAGTTGAAAGACCACAACGAACTACCGACAATGCCGCGATCCAACGCTTGGGAAACAGGCGAAGCCGAACAAGAAGGCGTCGAGGCCCCCGTTCTCACCGCCGAAGAGCAGAAGAAACTCGAGCACCACCAAGGCAAGCTGGAGAAGTCACATACCTTCTACCGGCCCCACGAGACATATACACACCACGCCTTCTCCATCCGCCTACTCATCACCATCATTGTTCTTCTCGACTTCCACTCCATGTTCCAATGCGCACTGGGAGGTACCACCTGGGGTATCTACTACAAAGACCGCCCCAAGGAAGTCACCGCCATCATCCTAAGTTGCAGTCTAACATGCAACATCACCGCGGGCATCATCATCGGCCGCGGCGACAAGCGCAGTCGCAAGAAGCTCGTCGTTGAACAAATCCTCCGTCAAGAAATGACCGAAGAGGCGCTCAAGAAACTACGAAAAGAACGCGGTATCAAGGCCAAGGGCCTCATGACGAAGAAGCAGAAGAAACAGGTGCAAAAGGAAACGATTGGTGAACCCAAGAACCCGTTGGATACTATCTTGCATCGCGGGTAGTGTAATGTTTTTATCTCTTTCTCCTTTGAAGAGACTCCTGATATGATGATGGTTAGATTGTATATTTTAATTATACCCTTCCGGCGTCTTGCGATCGCCATTTTTCGCTTCGCATTTAATTTTGCATCTACAAGTTAATGTCATGATGTGAACTGTCCTATCGAGCTTTCCGTGCTGTGATCCTCGCCTTTATACTACTCCAATTAGTCTAATGACTACAGCATGCGCCTCAGACAAACTATGTATATGGATCACATCACCATTCTAAGTCAAGACAAAACATGACTCTATCTCGGACCTAGATAATTCTCCTAGAAAACACCGTAGCCTGTAGATCAACATCGATCACCACAAGCAGACAGATATACACACCAAGTCCCTATCTCCCCACCCCCAAACTTACCACCCCACCGTCACCAGCCACACCAGGTCTACGGAAAACTCACTTTGCCTTTTGCCCCAGCCGTCGCGCACACTGCCACTTCAGGGCTTCGGCATTCCCTGCCGACCGCGCACTAACATGATTCAGTCTAGTCTAAAACTGTAATTTACCTCGCGGCTACCTGACACATATGCACTCCAGCACCCTTTTTGCCTATCCTGTAGCTACAAGTCATGTCAAGAGTGTCAAGTCATGTCCAAAGAGGTACTCTCCACATGGCAGAACTGCAACTCCACATCCCGAAACCCACGTGCTGCGGCGCAGTTATGAACCTCGTGTCGAGCGAAGTGCACTCCACCTGCTCCTTCCATCGAATGCCAACCGCCCGCCAATGTCAAACTCACCGAGAAACCAAGCAACCAAGAGAACTACCACGCCGCGCCACGCCACCACGCGCAAACGTTGCAAGTTGCAGAATATCTAGTGTATGAACGTGGCTGTGTTGATGCAGACATAAACCTTGTGGTAGTTAACAAACAAGCGAAAGCGAATTAGTCAAGCGTATGTTGAAGAACAGCATGGCGCGCAAAGATAAAGGGGATGATGGGGATCGGTGAATATTGACGAAATACGAGTCATTAGTACAAGCGGCAAACAGCCTTCCGTCGCCTGTCAGTCAGAACAACAGATCATCGAAACAACGACAGCACCATCACTGAAACTTAACTGCAGTATGTCAGGCAGCTATGCTTACACGTGTCGGCAAGATCCGGCAAGAGGCGTGCGTGACGACCCGGGGATTTGGAATCTCCAATACACTCCATCAACAACAGTACAAGTGCAGTGAGCGATAGCGAGAGATGGTGTGTGGGTATAGTTCGGTCGCGCAAACCTGCAGCGACGATCCATGTTTAAGAATCTGTGGTAGGTCCCCCGCTAACAGCTGTTAATGCATGTTTGAGAAACATGGTCCTCCTTGGTTGCAGATACATGTCCACGTGTAGAACGATGGCGGGGACGGGGACCAAAGTCCCGGGTTACATGCAGTGATGAAGCCAAATCCGACTGAAAGACTGATTAATCGCTGGAGAATGACCCAAAGCCCAACCGTACGCCTGCTATGGCCGAAGATCCCACTCTTGGAGCCGACATGAGGAACCCGATTCACCGATTTAGTGATTCATGACATATACTTTTTTTCCCGACCTTTCTCCGAGAAGCTTTCCTTGCCCTCTCACTCCAAAGGTGTAAGCCGCTCCATATAACGCCGTCCTACGATCCGGTAGGTGAACAAAGGAAAGACCCTCTAGGGGTGTCGAGTATGCCGATGATGTCGCATAGGATCGTGTCATAATACATTCGATGCTGAAAGGTCGTGAAACAAAGCCGGTAGATAATTGAAACCGTTGTTGGTGGGACAGCTAGTCCTAGGTCCGAACAGAGTCGGCTAAACCGTGTACCCGTCCGTTGGTGTAGAAGTAATAAACAGAAAACGCTGAAGTGAAGCCTCACGGTGTAAGGCGGAAAACAGACCCAGAAATACAGTCCAGTGAAGGTCAAGACTCGAGTGGCTTGAGCAGCCGCGTTGCTCATGCAAGACGACAGTGATGTGAAGAAGGGTTGCTTCAACGGTGAGGGTGCTCGTAGGGCCGCATACCGCCAAACTCGACGCCTTGCATCGGTCCCTGCATAGAGCCTCCATGCGGCGGTGGTCCCCACTGAGCCTGCGATGGTGGTGGCTGTTGCGAGAGCCCCTGCTGTTGCTGCTGCTGTTGCTGTTGCTGTAACGGTGGGAGGACGTTGGTCCCGGACGCAGGAGTTGCGGGTTGTCCTTGTGCGAACTGGCCTGTCATACTTCCGTAGACATGAGAGTTGGATGGATCGACGCGACGGAGAGCGTTCCACACGGCGTTCAATTCTGCTCGGAGGAGCTCGTTCTCCTCCTGCGCCCGACGACAGTATTCTGCATCAGGTCGCAAGCGGCTGATTTCCTCGCGAGCGCTTTGGTGTGCGCGAGTCAGGCTTGTGACATATTCAATAGCTAAAGACACGTCAGGCAAACATATGCAGCGATGCATGAGTGAACTTACCCTTGGTGAGAATCTCCCACTTGGATGACTTGCTGCCTGGGCTGTTGGGAAGGATGCCATTGAGATCGTCGAACAGGTTCTTCATCTCACTACGACGCTTCCTCTCTGCCATTTTGTGGCTGACGCGAAGCTCAGGGGTCCGGCTATAACTTCCACTGCCAGGCGCAAGCGGGTTGGTGGGATCAATGTTCTGCAGGCTAGTCACGCTGCGATGTTGCATGGAGTGATGATGAGTGCTAGGGATGTCTGAACTAGTCAGTACGTCTGATGAAGGATGAGAGTAGGGAGGCGTGCCATCATTCAGTCGTTGTTGACCGGGTGGTAGCTTGGAGTCTGTGGTGAAGATGCTGCTGTTGACCGACGTCGCGAAGCTGCCTTGACGCGAAGGGGCGTTGGATCGGTCTACGCTAGACTCGCCGCTGCTAGACGTCCTCTTCTCTTCGTGGTCGTAATCATCTGCGGGAAACGCCCAAGCAAAACCCTTAGTTGGAGCCGCCGCCATGGGGTCCGGCATGCCAGACACGCTCCTGGGGTTGGGATTAATGACCGGAGCGCGTCGAGGGGGATGGTTGGCACGCGGAGCAGCACGATTAGGTGACAGAGGAGAAGTGCCGTTAGGGCGCGAATCAGGATTTGTGATGCCGCGTTGCTGCTGGAGGTTCGAGACAAGCGAGACTCGGGACGCATTTTGGCTCTCGTATGGTGACTGCGGGTGAATGGATAGATGACCCATGGTAGCGTTCATCCGACTGTCTACGCTGCTGCGTCGAGAGTCGAAATGAGAGCCGGCATCGATACTGAGCCGGCTGTCGAACCCTTGGTTGAGCGGAGGTAGGACACCATGCTACTGCTATGTTAGACGAGTTTATAGGCGATCATAAAATGCGTACCTGAGACGACTGGGAGAGGCCAGATGGATACCTCGCCGATGATGGCGTCTCGGGTATCGAACTTCTTGATGGGGAATCATCGGAAGGGTTGAGTAGTGTTTGCACGTGTAGTCCCAAGGACTGGGACATAGTTGATGAATCTACAAAGCGTGTCAACAACGTGCAGATGATAGGTATCGTGAGAACTCACGTTTGCTTTGGGCAAGAGACCAATTGCCTGAGTCGCGAACCTCGCGTGCTTCTGAGTGTTGCCTGGGCTGTGCCGGGGTCGGCTCAGCCGTAGGTAGACGGTTGGTGAGTGAGGACAGTGGCGGCAGAGATTGCTGGCCCTGAGTGATGTTGTTTTGCATGTTGTTCTGCGACATGTTTCCGTGCGGCGTGGTACGCTGAGAAACAGAGTTCATGGATATGGAGGCGGCGCACGAGGTACCTTATAAAATAGTCGTGCGTGCCCGCCGTTAGTGGTAGCGAGAGGGCTTTGGGCTCGTGATGATGTCCACACTCGAACGGGTGAGATAGTGGAGCCAGTGAGGCGCGGAATAATGACGTTTGCCAGAGCAAGTGGTTTTGGTCACTTTCGGCAATCGTAGATGGGCCAGGTGGGAAAGATGGGGAAGTAAGAGTAAAAGAGGGCCGAGTTCCGGGAAGGGAAGCTTGGGTAAGGGTAGTGGCCGGGGCGTGGAGTGGAAGAGGGATGCAGGGCGTGGTAAGGGTAACGGGCAGCGAGGCCGCACGGGATATGGTTCGTTCCTCCCTGAAAGTAAAGATGGCAGTTGGGTTGAAGTGGGGCACGACGAATGGAGCGCCAAGACCGTCCCAACTCTAATGGCAAGCGCAAGGTAACGATCCACGCCGATTACCGCGAGAAGGGCAGGAGCGATGGCCGTGTCTTGCAGGAGTGGCAGCAGCGAGGGTGCCCGGCGTCAATGACTTCTTTTGGCGGTACGAGTCGAGACAGAAGCAAACAAGGTTCCTGGCAAAAACTCCACGAGAGCTGGAGATGCGGCTGCCGTGCTCTCCCTAGTCGGCGGACGCTGCAGCAGGGACAATACAAAGGTGCCTTTGCCCAGGCCAGATGGGACACGGCGTCCAGAGGGCGGGATCTGGAATTGACACGATGGAGGCGCCCTAAAAGACGAGTGCACGACGTGGGCGTCGTGGTGAGAATTGGCCAGCTGGGGCGGCTCTGGGGCGTGGTGGGTCGAGATGGTACCAGTTGACACGGCGACGAGGACAAAGTCGAGAGACTCTGGGTTCGCGCGCGTGGGGAAGGAGAGCAGCAGTCAGCAGACTACCGGGTCGAGTACATGTCCTGGGGCGGAGGGCAGCAAGGAGCACAACAAAGCAGCGGGCAGCCGGCGGTCTAGCCGTAGGGACGTCGTACGACGTTGGGAAGGGACCTCTGGAAAGTGGAGGAGGTGCGGCGCAACAGAAAGCTAGAGGCGACGGTTGAGTCTTGACGAGTCGCAAGGGCAGCCAGGGAGCCAGCCAATTAATGGATATGGTGGTGCCCAGAGGTGAGCCGGCCGCACGTGGGAAATCGTTCAATCGAGGCCTCGTGTATCTTAAGCTGCCCGTCTAGCGGCGGCTAGCTGCACTTAATATGGGCTCCCTGCCTCCGCGCGCGAACTGGTGCACTTGTCATATGGCGGTGCCCATGACAGCAATTCCCTCTGCCACCACCGACCCGCGAGGGGCCACTCCGCCCGGCTGTGGCAGCCAGAGGTTCGTTCCGCTCCAGCGTGCAGAGCAGACGCATGCGCAGGCACGGCATCCTGAGCCCCGCGAGCAGCAGACACGGGCGGCGAGCATGGCAGGGCCTTGTAGTTTGTCGTCACTTTAGCCAAACCCGTGTTGCTATCCCGCCGCCCGCTGTACCGCCACGAGGTCACTAGCCCTCCACGCCTGCTACCCAACCGGCCAAAGCGCCGAGCAAAAGCAAATTCTGCGACGCTGTCCTCCTGCGCCGATCCCTCATGGCCGCCTGCAGCGCGCGCATCCTTCTGTAGCCTGCATTCGCTGCCGGCATGCAGTAGTCGCCTTAGCCCGTGCCCATGCCAAACAACATGGCCATACTTGGCCGGCTAGCGCTGTGCGAGACCACGGTACAGAACGACTACTGAACATATCCACACTTCGCGTCTCCGGGGCCACCGACACTGCCCCCATCGTCGCTTTGTTCCGATGGATGCACTGATGCACTGAGCTTCACAAGTCTGCAGGGCACGGCGCTCCCGAACCCTGCTTCCCGCATGGCAATCATCCCGCTCCATTAACCAGTCCTCCTGGCCCGACTTCTGCCAGAACTCCCGCCGCCCATAGCCTCTTTTGCCCTGCCAATTATCCTCCGCGGTCACACAGGCGCTGTGCCTCCTCTGTACCCTTGGTAATAAACCCACCCCTTGCTCCTGTCCACTTTTACTCCATCGCTCTTTGGTCGAAATGGCAGATCGTCTGTGACCGTTACGTTTATCCCTACTTCTGCTTCTTGGAACCTGCAATGCACATGATGCTGAACCCTTGGAACCCGCATCCATCGACCAGGTTACACGGGACACCATGTGAGCATCGACGTCGCTGCTATCTCGGACGACCAGCCTCTGTACAGCAATCTTCCATCGATTATTGTTGAACTGTGAGTTCCATGTTCTTTGTAGCCGCCATGGGAAGCCCTGAACCATCTCAGCGACTCAACTCGTCACAGTAATGACCAACATCATTCATGGCTCTACGATCACCCACCAGGACCGCGGTGTTGTCTCAGACAAAGAATCACATCGGCGTATTCATCGGGGCACACGATCGGCTAACCTACTTGGAGTGTGTCTGCCTAGAACGACTAGGACCATTGAAACTGGACTGCAGACGGCAACTGCTGCCGAAACATGTCCATCTTTACGCATCCTTTGGATCAGTATCACGTAGTCGGTCCAAGCCGGTCAAGCTACTCTACACCACATGGCGGTATCGCCGCCTCCTCGCACTGTACTCGGTCTGGCGGTGCTACCACACGCAGACCCGACGACCAGGTTTACAACGTAACGGTCTTGTGTCAGGTGCCAGTGCATGTTTGGTCCTCCAGTGCTCTGATCGAGCAACGGTGGCTGAGGAGCCAACTCCGGATCCCACATGAATCCACGGTCAAGCCAACCGTAATTCAAGTTTGCAGAGCTTACCATTCACCACGTTCAGGGCCGTCGGCTTGTGAGCTCAACAACATGGGTGTTCGTCTGCTTCCATGGTTCAACTCTGCATCGAAAGATCTGGAAGGCTTAGTTATGGTCACAGCATTGTTAGGCTGTAAGAGATATAAGGCTTACATGCTGTTGTGTCTGCAGCTTGTATGGCACGCTTTTGGGGCAGTGCCCGGGCGATGGTTTCCATGTTGCTGTGAACGTGGACCATACCAGGAACGAACGGTTTCTTGTGCTCTCAAAGAACATACATGATTCAGGTTTTGTGTCTGTCAATGTCGTTGTTCGATCCAAGCCACCGATGGACATGCATCATCGAACGCGCGTGCCTCTACGTTGCACAGGCGCGACACGTTATCAGCACGCCAGCTACCTCCAAAAGCAGGCTTGAAGGACAGATGTTGTACTCGGACGCGTCAACCTGCCAGCAGTTGGTATCCGTTGGTAAGTGGAACTGTTGGGGCGCGGACCGTAACACAATGCAGGACTACCCCAGGTGGGTCGTTACGCGCTCAAAGTCTATCGGCAGACAAGACCAGTCGGTAAGGCTCCCGTGCCTCCCTTGCAGTACATCATTAGACGGACATTGCAGTGACATGCTCCGATGATCTGAGGCTTGGTGACATTCCGGCTGCAAGGCCCCTGAAGCTCGGCAGCACAGCAGCGGTCGCGTACCTGAAGGCAATATAGTCGTAATTGCCGGATCCGAACGGCGCTGCAACGGTTACTCGTAGATTGCAGTTACACTGAAAGCTCATCTCGGTCATGACTACCGGAGCAGTATGGTTGTTGAACGGAGGTTTACCTCGAAGTAGTGCAACTACCAGCGCAAGCATTTCGCCTCGGTACCAACCGAAGCCTAAGATGACTGTACCTCGATCGATTCGGGTGGCATTGGGTAGCAAAAATGCCTCAGGCACGATTACCGTACGATGTTGGCACGAGATGAGTAAACCTCGAAGACTCTACACAGTACCCAAGGTATTTGTACGTGCCTGGCCTCGCGATTTGCTGCCAACCCGACAGTACGGATACGCTACGAAGATGACGGTCATTACAGACAGGAATCGGCCCGTTCATCCATGGGACATGTCAAGCGCCTGCCTGATCCAGGTGCTAGCTGCGCCGCGGCCTCGCCACACGACAGGGATGGGCAAATGCGGGCGGGGATGCGAAGCGACCACCACAATCACGTGAATATCGTCACGATGCAGATAGCGCTGCGGGGCAAAGCTTGGTTCGCAACACGAAAAGCACGCGTGAATTGTGAGCAGGCACCATGGACGCCGCCACTACCGCATCCGCCGTGTCTGTTGATGCTGAGCATGTTGAACGTGAGGACGCCGTGCCATCGCATGTTTTCCCCTTCCTCAGGCTTCCACGAGAGCTGCGGGATCAGGTACGCATCTCTGCCGCCACTATGTCGGATCTTAGGCTGACGGCAATATAGATATATGACTACACCTTCGCTGCGCAAGAATTCAGCGTTGACCGGGCCATTGAGCGACGTCACCTGAAATATTTCAAACCCAGCGCTGCTGCCATCCTCCTCATAACCCGCCACCAATACTTCCTCCTCAACCGTCAAGTCGCCCGTGAAGCCCTCGAGGTCCTGTTCAAAAACCACATTGTCTACCTCAGCTGCGGAC